GAAAATCAGATATCAGAAAAAGAGAAAGCTAAGTTGTTCACTGCTGTGATGGATTACTCGGAAGCAGCATCTCAAGAGGGAGAAACATCAGTGCCTATTTTGTTTCACCCTTTTGGGAACTACTTTTTTGTCACAGAAGAAGGAGCAGTGTGTGTGGATAGTCCATCCGCAATCATAAAGATGATGCACTTGATGCTTGCAACTAGTTCTCCAGCTAGTAGTATTGAGGACCATCTCAAGTATGGAGATTATGTTAATAGATTGTCATCACAGACATTGAATGACGGAATTTCCATGCAGAGGAACATTCCTGACTCGAGCTATGAAGCAGGGCTTGAATTGGCCATCCAGTCTTCTGGCATAGCAAACCAGGTAATTGCAATATCTTTTGAAGATGTTATATAAAATGATTCCTGTGTGTACCGAACATTTAAAGCTTTTGGGTTCATAGATTCAGATTCTATATGATTCAGTGGTAGGTGGGACTATAGATTATCACCGAAACAGCTTAAAATTTTAGATAGGTGGATGATGATAATATCTAGTCTCTTCTTAAACCTTCAAATTCAAATACTGAATTCCAATATTTTTTTCATTTCTTACAAAGTAGGAAGAATAAATCTCCACTTATTTTCTTAGATTTATCCGCATGTTCGGTAACAAGTTTCCTCACAAAGGATCCGACTCCAGCAGAAGCCATTTGTAGCTTCTGTGCTATTTCAAATATGACTTGAAAAATATAGCCAGACTAACTGTAAAAGACACTAATTTTTTTATTTCGCAAAACTATTATTTCTTAACTTTGGTTAGTCCTTTCTTTCAACATTTTCCATTAACATTAAAATTAAAAAGATTGTGTAAAGTCTCAAGTGATTATGGCTTACGATTTCAAGAACTAAAATGGGAGGGATTAATCTATTGGAAAATCTGCGTCTATGATTTTTGCAGTGCCTTCTCATTCACATAGTTATATTAGCCACGCATGAATATTTTCACTGAACAAGTTACGATGATGTAACCAACAGGAATCAGCTATTACATCCGCCAAGGAGTGTCTGAAGAAAACAAGGAGAATGGGTCCTTCACCAACTCTAAATGCAGCAACCCTAGCCGTTAGCTTATCCAAGGTGGTGCCTCTTAGAGCGCAAATAGAATGGTACAAGTCTTGGTGCGAAGAGCAAGACGACCAAATGGGTTACTACGACTCGTTCAAAAGCAGGGACTCTTGCAGTTCCAAAAGGGACATGAAAGTTAACATCAACCGTTGCAAGCTTGCAAGGTTTTGGAACGACGTTCTTGACATGTTGGAAAGAGGTGAGCTGCCTCATGACTTCGACAAGAGAGCCAAGTGGGTCAATGCTTCACACTTCTATAAACTATTGGTTGAGCCGCTAGACATTGCTGAGTATTATGGGAAAGGGAGGCATAGAACCAAGGGGCATTACATGCAGCATGGTAGAGAGAGAAGATATGAAATTTTTGATAGGTGGTGGAAGGATAAAACTGTTACTACTGCTACAGAAGAAAACAAGGAGAGGAGCAAGTTCGCGAGTCTTACCCAAGATTCATGCTTTTGGGCTAGAGTGGAAGAAGCAAGGGACTGGTTGAATTGTGTTAGAAGCGAGAGAGACACTAACCAGTTGGCTTTATTGTGGGATAAAATTGAAAATTTTGAGAAGTATGCCATAAATTTAGTTGAAAATAAAGAGGTGTCAATTGATGTTCTCTTCAAGAATTCAAGTTACAGTATATGGGTGGAGGATTTACGAGAACTGAAACAACTAAAAGTAAAGGTGCAAAGGCTTCCTCATCAGTTTACTGGTTTTCTAGATGGAGAAGTAGTTCCTTAGTAGGTGCTTTGGAATCAATAAAATTGACCCATTGTAGGTGTGCTATATATCTATAACAATCCTGCTACCTTCGCAAAATAACTCGTTTTGCTGTTGAGTTATGACATTTTTGTTGCATTAAGATTTCACTTGAATGCATTCAGATGTGAATAACAATCACATAATAAATAATATATCAGATTCTACACTGCTGGTAACATATAACTGAAACTAAAAGTTTAACAAGGACTATCATTAAGAATAGTTGTAATGGTCAATTGCTATTTGTTAATAAGTACTCTCTAATGTTTAACCCAAATGCAGATGTCAAGTGCAGTGAAAATATATTTATCTTTTCTTATGCGTAAAGGCTTCGTGAGTGAAAGCTTCTAAAGACTATGGTTTCAACAAATTTAAAGTATAAACTGTCTAACCCATCGCATCATGTGTAGTTTTGTTTTTAAGAAATTAATAATTTTATAAAAAAATCTTTCAAAAAGTTTAAAATCTTAACTTTTTAAAACAAAATAAATTAAATGCAGGTTTAGGGAAGCATGTTGCTTTGCGTGTTAAAAGAGATAGAATGTAAGAGTCAGCGTGCTCATATAATTGCAGTTGAGTACAAGGTTGTGTTGCATGCACAAGTTGAAAAAATTTTCTTATCAAAACTTGACCTGCTATATTCATACAGTACATGGCAAAAGAGTAATTTAAAGGTGAAAATATTGCTAAATGGATTGAAGGGATGCATGATACACTTTTTGGGGAGGCCCACCACATCTTAAGGGATCTCCTTAAAGTTGGATCCAAGCATATGATACCTCCTTTTGCTTGCTTCCATCGTTTTTTTATCCTATCTTTATTTTTTTTTTAAATAAAAGAAAAATTAAGGTAGAACATATGAAAAGGATGCTAAATGCTATTGCTAGAGAAAGGGTAGTTGGAAAGAAAATATGGTAAACACTTTACTAGACAAAACACTAAATAAATAAACTTAAACTTTTGCAATAGTGTAGAGGATGCAATGTTTGAAATTTTTTCCATTCATTAATTCAAACTTTACTTATTTAAAATAATTAGGATGATTTTTAAGCGTAAAAGTTGATAGATACATATTGAAGATATGTATCTATTCAAAGATATTCAAAGATTATAGATATAAGATTGTCGTGATCTTATCAATCTAATTATAATATTTTGAAAATTCATTCTCATATCTGAAAACTGTTCAAATTGGACAAATATAAAATTTGAAGAGACTCTTGACAAAATCATTAAACCTTCTAAAGTTAGATTACACCCTCATCTTCAATGTAATATGGGAAAATTTCAACCATTTAATATAATTAATGTGAAACTTTTCAATACCCTCTCCACATATATTTATCAAACCTAACAAATAAGCTATTACTATAATTATACATATATTTATCAAACCTAGCAAACCTCACAAAAAACTACTACTATAATTAGAGTATTTTAATAATATATTAGATTTCATTGAATCAATTCACATTAAAGCAAATTATTCAATAAATATATAAGTCATAGTAAAAAAATATATAAAATACAGTAGAAATATAAAAGAAAAATTCATTTCATATATATTTTAAATAATATTTTATCCCACTTTTCTCTAATTTTTTTTAAATTAAAAAAATCAGTACCAGGTGAAACATATAGCATTTGTGTTTTATAATAATCTTTTCAAGAGACAAATTCAAAAATGAAAACAAACCAAAAATGTTTTTGTGGTGCAAAAACATAAAACCAACAAAAAAGTTAAGGAAAAAAAAATATACATATATATATATATATATATATATATATATATATATATATATATATATATATATAGTCTTCAATTGCTGTTATGCGAAGGTAAAAGGGTCACTCCAAGTGTGCAGGTTAAAGAAACCAGATAGGCCAAATCACAACTTAAATGAGCGAAGTTGTTTGATATTCACAAGTGTAAGTTCAGTGAACAAAAAATGAACAAACTGTAAGGTTTGTATGTCTCAGCCTATATGCCTACCCTGTTGAATGTTTTAGATGGGTGGTGGTGACAAGAAGTGTGTACAGGACGACAGTGTTAGAGATTGTGTTATGAAGTTTCATGATATGAATTCTCTTCGGTGGACAAGAGCAACCATCATGCAATTTAAACCCAATGTAGACCAAAACTTGATTAGTATCTTAGATGCATAATTAGTTTCTACTTTTTGCGGAACATACAACTGCAGATAAGCTAATTAACTTTAGGACAAAACATAGTTCATAATACTTTATAGGACACGGACTATCTCCATCTTTGATTCTCAAGAGACAGTAATATGAAACCAATAGACAGTAATATTTTGTGTGATAACCGAAAGCAATGCAACTCCAGCAATAACTAACAGCCACCAAGAAGTTTATGGTCCTCTTGTTAAACTGTTATAATATTAGAAATAGGGCACAAAATCCTTCTTGTCCAAATGCAGAAATACACTAGTGTTGTCTTTACCTGTCAAAAGAAACATTCAAACCTGCCTTATAATTTCCAATTTGACAACTTGTGAAAGGCATGACAAAGTTACTATCAATTGCTTACATTCTTCCATGGATATCAATCACATATATTTCAAAGCAGCTACATGATTTATGTCACAGACAAAAAGTAACGCAACAGATAATTTTACAAACAATTTAAGCATATTAAGTAGTCATATCAAAATGATGTTGCAATACATTTCACAACAGTAATTGACAGCACAGTGCATTGGTTCCAGAGCATGTAGCAAAAAAAGGGCTACACTTAAAATGTCACTGAATCGCATAGGAAGCATAATTTTATTTACCTATAAAGAGGTGAGGAGTCTGAGAAAAAATAAAAGTTTTTTTTTTCTACACAGAACATTAGTTTCTAGAAGATCATAAGAGTTTTCATTTCGTCCTTTCCCAGAATCATGAAAAAACTTTGTTTTTCACATAAGTTCTCCAAATCTCAAGAAACAGGAATTGTTTGTCACCCAGTCCATATGTCATTATAACTAAAACATATTTGCTAAAATACTTTTTCACAATCAGACACATTACTGCCACATCAAAATTGTTGAGACTAATAATGAAAACAGATGTGATAGCTATTAAGCTACCTGAAACAATATATATCTTCTATCACTATCGTAGCTATAACACATCATAAAGCAAGGAGAACATGGCATGATTTTGATTTTGGGGAGGATGGGGAATTTGAAATATAAAAACAAATTGACATGTCAGGGTCAAGTCAAACCTTGATAAAGGCGAGCAAGTCGAAGCGCCAGGAAAGCCTGTAAACACATTTGAGTACGACTTAGTCAAATAAGAAAAATTGTTGATGGGAGGCAGAGAGGGTACTCTCTCTCCTTTCTTCAAAAGTTCTTGCAAGTCAAGTCTTTGCAAAGTCAAGACAGACCTAGTGTCCTTCCAAACAAAGGCAAGGACACCATTTTCAAATACAAAGAGGGAACCGGGCTTTGATCCAGGGTATCTGAACCCATAACCATTTGAAATACCCTCTCCTGTGAAAGCATGTTTGATATCCACTGACAAGGTGTCTTTATTGGTGTCCAAGGGAAAGGAATCAAATGAAGGATCATTGATATCCACTATAAACATTGCTGAACCATTAGGATGCAAGACATACTGAGTGCCTTCCAATATTTTTGTTGCAATAAGAAGCTTTTGTTCTTGGGATTCCTCATAAGAGAGGAGAAGAAAGAATAGAGCCTTTCCTGGCTTATCTTCAGAAGGTTTTCCAGGAGGCCAACCAAAAGTTCCTCCCCACAAACCCGCATAAATTTGGTCCGCTGAGGGAACTTGCAATGGCATCTTGTAAAGTGCAAACCAACTATCAGGCATATTTGGCCATGCGCGATAAGAAGATAATTTTATAGTTGAGGCCTTTATTGTTAGCCCTATTGTATCACTTGATCTAAGAAAATCTTCAAGCCGCGCATGCTTTATCTCACGTCTTGAAGTAAGCTTCTTCAAAATTGCATGACTCTCATTAACTGAACTAGATTTTCCAATGATTTGTTTAAAGCTACCCCAGAAATACCCACCAAGACTTTTCTTCTTGGTGCATTGTATGTGACCATCTTCCTTGTTCAGAATATCAGACAAATCCTTGGACCATTTACAACTCTTTCGTATGTCATCTAGCTCTAATTGCACTGGACCAACTGCTCCTTGAGAACTTTCCTCATTGTCAATCCGGCTACTACCACTGCTACACATTTGACAAAGGATTGCTCTTCTTTCCTTCAAAAGCACCAAATCTTTCTGAAAGTTGTCACAATCATCTCTCAATCTAGGAAACAACGGTCCAGCAGCCATGCCAGCAACATCTTGTCGAACTAGGCCTATAGTGACCTCAAGCAACTTTCTTCTATCACTAAAAGCCAACTTGCTGAAGGGAACTATTGCCTCAGCATTTCCACCCTCCCTTTGTAATAACCTAGAGACCTCACTGTTTGACCTACAAACCTTTCCTGATATCATCACGCTCGAATCATGCAAGCTCCCACTCTGTAACAAAGCACTGTTACTACTACTACTATTATTACTATTACTATTACTATTACTACTACTACTACTACTACTACTACTACTACTACTACTACCATAATCTTGTTCCCTAGCTTCAATCTCAAGCAACAGCACATTGCAACACTCATCTATATACTTGACCGAGCCACGATGAACATAGTCTGTCTCCTCTTCTCTTCCATGGAGAAAAAAGGTAGTTGAACCATCAAAATCACCGATAACTTCAAACACAGATGACCATTGGATAGGACCATCTTGAATCCCTAAATGACCAAGCTCCTGAGGAATTATCCGGCACCCGACAACGGAAACAAAACCAGGCATTACATAGACAAGGTTACCAAGCTCAGGGTTCTGATGAACCCATATTCCAAGCAACGGTTTAACCCTCAAAAGGAAACGGCAAAGTGCCTTGTAAGATGACACACCCTCTCTCCACTCAACAAGGTCCTTGTGGGGCACCACCTCCATCATGTCACACTGAGTGAACCACACTTTTTCAGAGGATGCAAAAGCATACAGACTCTTGCAGCAGAGACTGAGATTGCACACGTCTCTGGGCAAGAGGAACCGCGACACCATGCCAAACAAATCATCGGGCAGGCACAAAAGCAAGCTTGGATCACAAGACATAATGGAATGGACTCAATTTAACCCAACTAAAATTTGATCGAAAGAAATGATCTTTAAGCTCAAGTGTGAGCTACACACACAGAAATTATGAATCTCCCAACCCAAGTGATATTCAATTATTGAGTATAAGTCTACGAAATTTTTGAATGACAGAGACGCATACCTACCTGCGTGAATTGGGTTGTTACGATGTGCGAAATTCTGTGACTGTGAAACGCGTTTCGTGGTTGAAAAGAAAACCCAGAATTCCAAGTGGGTGCGGGCGGGGGAGGAAAATCATGCAAAGGAAAGTGGTTAATGGAGTCAAGTCAACCCACTTTTACACAACTTGTGCATAACATAACACAACTCAACAACCTTCTGTTCTGTGTGGTGTGTCATCAGAACAGGAACATAGTTGTCTCTTCCACAACTTATCTTTTGAATTCCCTTTCCCTTTCTTTATGTTCATCTTTTGCGTGCTTTTTATACCTATTTAAATATTAATTTCAGTCATTATACTTTACACACCGTTTATTTGTGTTCTTGGGGTTGATTATTTAATTAACATCTCTTTTTTAACATTTTTTTCAAAAAATTGTATACCAAATATTGAAAATAACTAACTTTCCATCTTTCGTAAATATTCCATTACAAAAAATATATTAAAATTAATCTAACAGTTTTATAATTAAATTAAAAACTACAGATAAAAAGAAAAAAACAGACAAATAAGATGTATAATGCATGTAAAATATTTACTTTATGTAAATATATAGTATAATGAAAAATATTTCAAATGTATAAATTATAATGAAAATTTCACGAAATTAATCTGCTTAAATAGTAATTTTCATTCGAACTTCTAAAATGAATTATTTTAACTAATCTGGCATGACCTACAAATAAATAAATTAACGTCTTTTTAGATGGATTATAATTTTTCTTAACAACTTATTTTATTTTAAATCAACGGTTGACCCGATTGAAATAAAAAAAATTGTATGAAAAGAGATTATAAAAAAATATTTAAAAAAATAAAATAAAAATTATAGTTTATATTATATTAATCAAATTATTTTTTATTTTAAATATAATAATTTGATATATAAATTATAAGATAATAGATAAATTTATTTTGAAAATAAGAATTAAAGATTTTTATTATTATTTATTTATTAATAATGTAGTAGTCTAAATATTAATTCAAATTATAAAAACTGAAAAAAAAATTATAAAGAATAAGTGAATTTAATATGTATGTTTTAATAAAATAATATTATTTTAATTTATATTTAAAAAATAATTATTATTTTATAAATTAAGTTAGTTTAAAATTGTGACTTGATCTACATTCATTTAGATTATTGAACTAGATTATGAATTAATTCAACTAACTTGGTTTAATTCAATTTATAGCATAATGTTTTTTACTTAATAAATTATTTTCGAAATTTCAAATTGACTTGTAAGATATAACACCCTAATTCCTTGACATGCTTTATTATATATATATATATATATATATATATATATATATATATATATATATAGTCCTTCAATATACGTATACCAATTTTTTTATCAGTATAATTAATTATTTTAATTTATATTGAGATACCAATTGTTATAGTTTGTATAATAAACAAGATGAATAACTATTTTTATAAAAATTAATTTGTGATAAATAAATAAAATAAATATTTTTAATATTTATATTTTATGTGAAAAAGCATAAATATATTAAAAATAAAATATACATTGAAATATATTAAAAAGATAAATTTAAAATCCCGAAAGTATTATTGGATTTTGATTTTGATAGAAAAGGATTATCGAGAAAGATTAAACTTGAAAAACATTTGTGTATTTTAGGCTCAATGTTGAAAGAGTTGTCAATTGTTTAGTTTTGAATGGGATTGAATACGACCAGAAGTCAAACTTGAAAAGTATTCATATCTTTCATGTTGAATACTTGGAGATTTTACATAATTTCAAAATATTTCATTAACTTTTTATTAAGTTTTTCTGGTATGTTTAGTAAGTGTGGGAGAGAGAGAGAGAGAGAGGATGATGAATGTATGATTTGAAAGGAAAATTACTTTACGTGTGTGTGTGTGTGTGTGGTCTATCTTTGTGAAATAAGATTACCTAATCACAGTAACGTGACAACATGAGAACATGACAAATGGTACATTACCTCTGCTCGACATGTGAACAACGCACCATTGTATTCAATCAAACCTAACAAACATCAAACCGAATGAGCAAGAACTCTTAGAGACCACTCAATTTTAGAAAACGAGATAACACTCACCTCAGGTTCACGATTAAGCAAGATCATTGAGGACGTTTATGGAGTATCTAAAACTCTCATTAATTTTGTATTTTATCTAAAAAATTATAATTACTACAGAAAAAGTTATCACAATTCCCTTACGCTCATTTCATAACAGAAAAAAAAAAATAAAGTTAAAGAAGTTTTCATGCAAGTTATTGTCCATCATCTTTTTAAATTTATATGTATAAAATGTAGAAAAATTAAAAATATTAACAAATGTATCTCATTTAACTATACTACATTAAATTACAGAAACTATAATTAATTCGAGTAAGTTAACATTGAAAACATCTAAGATTATATATACGTAGTTAATTTAAGATAATCAAAATTAATAAATCACTAGAGTTTATAAAAATATCTTATGCTCTTTTTATTTTTTAAATAAATTTTATGGCATAAATTAATATAAAAAATCTTACCGGATAAAGAGGGATTAAATTATATACCTTAACGCTTATAAATGTTTATTATTGTTGTCTAGTACTACTTTACCACATTTCACCATTTTCTTCAATCACCTAAAATTAAGGACAAAAAGCAAACAAAAACAAAAAAAAAGAAAATTACAACGGTTGGATAATAATTCAGTAATTACAAATAATTATAGTTTCTATTAAAATGATTGACCTAATTAACTTTTCATTTCGATCATAAATAGTATGTCTATATACATCAATTATATTCATTTTCGACACTGTCATAACACTTCTCTTTATACTCTGTCAATTGAGAATAATACTTTTCTTTATATTATTTTGTACTCTCGATACTCTTTCCAATAACTTTTCCCACCAGCACGGACATCATCTAAATCTACTCATAGAAACGTATGGGTTTCCTTAGAAACTATCATTTGTATCTTTCTTTTCCTTTTCATACCAATGAAGTATTGGTTCCACAAAACAATACCCTTTTGAGCAAACCTTCGTGAATAATAGATCTAATAATTTTATGTTTTCTATGGACAAACTACATATTCAACACCTGTTGAAATTCAGTGGTAAAATCATCTAAATCAATCACATTTCTTTCACTTTTCAGCTCAGCCAGCACTAAATTCAGTTCCGCAAGTCGTTTCTGCAGTTTCTCGCCCTTGTCAGGTAATTTAGAAATCATAACCTGAAAAGGTTAAACGGAAGCAGTAAAATCAGTTCATAATTGAAAATGAATTCTTTTAATAACCATTTCCCATTTTCATAGTTGAGAAGTCAAGTACAAAACTACCTAACAAGTCATCTTTTCCACATGGGACAGTTAGACAGACTTTGAAAAGCGTATAACGTTGTCAAAAGTGGAAGACAAAGAATGATAGAGTGAAGTAAAATGAGCCTCAACATTCTAGTTTCGGTAACATTGCTTGTCGTGCCCATTTGCCTAACCATCTAAATCATACACCCTAAACGAGAAAAACATACCGCATTTGAGAGTGTTTGAGAGAGCCGATTAATTTTATCCTTGATTTCTGACTCGGTCAATTTACCAGAACTGCTAGGAGAAGAACCTTTTTTGCTTCTGGTAACATCCTTAGGATTAAATGCAAATTCGGCGCTGGTTTCAAGCAAAAATGGAAACAATCAAATCCAAACCAAAATGCATCCTTTTAATTTCTAAAATATAGTGCAATTATAGCCTCATACCCATAAGTAATATGGTCATTTGAAGATGATCTTGAAGTCCCAATATATTTAGTGGCATGATTCCTGCAACCATTGTATTTATGGAGCTTTAGGTTTGAAAAAGCAATTGGTAAACATTTAATAGTTAGAATCAACGCGCACACACCCAATCAGAGCTGGGGGGTGTACAGCTTTTTGGACTACGATATTAGCTGTAAGTCCGACAAAATTACGGACCTGAGCCCAAAAATAATTTCATTTTTAATTACGGGCTGATGCAAGTTGATCCATATAACCAAATGAGTTCACGAATCAACCCATTAGCCTACAAAAATAATTAAAAAAATGCAATTTTTTTGAACTATTTTGGATTTAGAATGGAAAAAACAGAAGTTAAAAAGAAATTTAAAAAATGAAAAAAAAAATAGAACACGCAGAGAGGCCCCATTTTTAGTTTTGCATATGTGGTTTGGGGGTGGGGGGTTGTGCAGGTGGATTTTCTCGCCTAAAAAAGTAGCACCATGTCCCCAAAGCATTACCTTGTGACTTCATCATCCTCAAGTTCAGCTCGAACCGGCGGCGCTGTCTTTGAAAATAGTAAACTGTGGTGACTAACTCCAGCTATGCCTTGACTCTTCAAGAACTCTATATGTGCTTTGAAAGATTCATTACTGCATGAAATACAAATACTCAGTAAGATTGTAAGCAGACTGAGTACATTTTATGCGTTCATGTTTGTTAGAGTCAGATTATTTCAAAAGCAGTTCCTCAATAAACTATTTAATGTCATTTTTAAATTTCCAAAATGAACACTAAAAAAATCAAAACTTCTATTGGGGGATATATGCAACGCAATGTAATTCACCGTATCGTAAGTGAGAAAAGCCAAGCACAAAATACATTTCGAAATTGTTGACTCATACACTGTATATTGATGATCGTGCTTCGCATTCAATTGCCTCTGGGTAACAGATACATCAAATCCTTCTTTTGGAAGGCTGAAAAGTTCCCTAAGATCCTGCAAGAGATGAACGGAAGATTACACGAAATCACTCTTTTTC